ATCCCGCTACACTACACTCCACCACCACCACTTCCTCACCTCTCTCTCTTCAATGGTGGCCAAGAAAGAACAGCAATAACACTAGTAGGAGCACTAGCACTACTCCCACCACCACCACCACCACCGCTGCTCATTTTCTTCTCTTTTGCTGCGATTTAGTCTATCCCGTTGACATTAACCCCATCACTCCTTTTACATATACTCCACTGCAATAATAAAAATCCTTATTGAACCCCTTTTTCTCTTGGGTTACATGTGCAGTTCTGCTTTTCATAAAAACCAATCACCTCTCTCATTCCAAAAAAATCCAACCAAAAAGGACTAAGAAAAAAGAAAGTGGCTTGACGCTAGAATCATTTCAAAGATCCAAATTTTCACTTCTTTTCTTGATTTCGTTCTAGGATATTGTATGTTTAGCTATACTTCTGTATCTTGGTTTTTTGGCCGGTGGTGTTTCTGAAGATGGGTAGCAAATGGAGAAAAGCAAAGTTGGTTTTGGGTTTGATTCTCTGTGTCAACATGCCGAGAACTCTAGAGGATCCGCTTCCCTCAATCGACCCCTCCAAGAGGTTATTTGATGTTGCTTTATTGTCTCCTGGTAATTGTAACACATGACTACTATTAAATTCTAATCTTATTTATCAATACTTATAAATGTAAAGATTTCTTTAATACGTATTTTAAAAGGGTAAATTAAAGGTTTAATAAATAAATATATATTTTATAATTAATTTATATAAAAATTATAATTTTTTATAATTTGTTATATAAATTAATTAAAAAAAAATATTAATAATATCCCTTTAATTTATACATTAAGACCACGTGCTACAAAAACTTAAATTTAAATATTTATGAATGATGACATGGAAAGGTGTGGTTGCTCTTGGTTTAAATGGCAGGCGCTTGATGGTCCCGCCGAAAAATTGGTCGTTTCCCTGCACTTGACAACTCATTCCATTTCTTCCTTCCTCAGTCCTCACAGCAAAATCTTGTCAAATTTAGGCCCAACATAACACCTCAGACAGTGGGTTCGGAACGGGCAAAAAATGCTCTTTCAAACAGGCCGGGGACCTGTCTGAACTGGACAATGTATGCGCAACTACGTATATATGCTTGCTGGGTCTGCAGCAGCCCATGATGAAGGACCGATCCAGGAGTTTCTTCTACGTGCAGTAGCAATGGCCAACAGGCCCAACACCATTAATTTAATTTTAGAATGCAGATCAAATTAATTCCAAAAATATATTGCGACAGCTTTACTTGTTCAAAGCCTTGATATAATCCGGTGTTTCCATTTTTGAAAAATTTTCTTTGCTCTGCGTTGTCTAAGGTTCCAGCTTAAATACTTCAAACTTACAATTTAAATTGCTTACCAATTAAGATGCTCGTTTAGTCATAACAATATTGTTCTTAGCTTGGTTAATTTAAACTGCCATTAACTAGGGAAAATAAATGAGCAGAATTTTATTGAAAATTATGAAAAATCAAAACATCTTGTAAATTAAAATATCATGAATTATGATAAAAATATTAAAATATCTCTAATGAATCAACAATACATAAAAAATATTCATTAAGAGTATTTGAATAATTTTACAAGGTTGGGACGTTTTGATTTTTACTTTTCTTATTTTATTAAAATTTGATGGTAAATTTAAAAGTATAAATTACAAACACTCTTGAATTTGATCAAATCTATTCTACACCCGCAATTAAAGGTTTAAAGAATATATACACTTTACCCTAATTACAAACCTAAGTTTTCTTTTTTGCAAGAGTTTAGAATATAGACTAATTGTCCAATTATTTCAATAAAGAATATGAGTTTAATGTACATGATATTACTATAGGTTTTTTTTTTTTGACCAGTGGGAAATTGGGGGATGGGGGAATAGTTACAATATTGCTGCATTAGCAGCTTGAACCCTTGACAAAGAAGCCAAGGGCGTTAGTGCACTTTTATCGCGGTTAAAGTCGCAAGTGCATTACCTTAGTTCATTAATTTCTTCTTGAGCAATAAGTTGCATCAACTTGTATCCTTAACGTCTGTTTGGATTTGCAAAGATTATAATTTAATTAATGGTAATTCAAAGTGATGAGCTCATTCATAGATTGGGGTTAAGGTTTTGGTTTTTACAGAAAAGTTATAAATGGTTTTGGTCTATATAGATGGGTTTTTTAGGATTTACAAAATACATACTACTCAATAGGAGCTTCCCAAGCTTATTACAATTTTTTTTTTTTTAATTTTTAAGTTGGAAGTTGTCTCAATTAAAATCTGAAATTTTCCAACATGTGATTTTGGAATATGGGTTAAACTTCATTAAATACAATATTTACAATTAATTTTGAATAAATTTTTATAATAGATTTAATTAAAATGAAACATAAAATGTAAAATTAAAATGAAGTATAAAATTTTGTATTTAAAATATGTAAATATGTATGAATCTGATATAAAAATTTATACAAAATTAATTACAAATATTGTAATTAATAAAGTTTAACATGAAACTTTTAAAATGTCAAGACCAAAAATTCAAAAAAACATATTGTACTTAATTATTCTTAGTTGTATATATATATAATTTTGTCAAAATTTACTTAATTTATATTATCAAATTTATTATTAACTTATTATTAGATTTACTGCTGTTGATATGTATGTAATAACAACAATAATATAAACAAGATCGTAAGAAAAAAAACAGTAATATAAACAAACAAAAAGATTGTCTTATTGGCAATGATTTAGTAAATCATGATTAGTTAAAGATGGACTTTAACCAAATAAGTGCTATCAAAAACAGCTCCTTCCCCTCCTATAAAACCTTCACCCTATCTTATTATAAACTCTTATTGAAAACAAAAAATTATACGAAGTAGAAATTAAGAGTTAATTTTGACTGAGGAAGCAATTAAACCATCTCTACTTCTCGACCTTCACTACTTTTACTTGGATTCTGACAACATCCTGTTAAAACAGACATGATTAAAATCACCAAAACGACCAATCCTATCACAACGAATATGTAAATATTCATTGTTTCCCTTGTTGATGGATGAATGTGGATCGTATGGTGTGAGTAAATTAAATGACATTACTTATGAATCGAGTAAAGGAAAACACTTACGATTTCCAAATCGCCTGTAGTGCTCATCTTCACAGCCGATTCCATTGAAATTAGGATTTCGTGAATTCTCCCTTGAGTTTTCTCTGCTGACTGATTTAAAAAGAATCGAGGGTTAGGTTGGAAAAAGATTAAAGATTTGGAGGGTGAAAACTATGAGTCAATGAATTAAGGACTGGGGCGCCATGGAAATAAAAGAAGGGGAATTGGTGAAGCTGCTGGACATTGCCTAGAACAGAGAGATTGTTTACTTAAAGATTTAGAAATTCTGACTTGACTGTATCCCCGTGCGATGCCGCCAGATATACCTCTTTGTTCGGCTTTGGTGGCTTGCATAACTGCATTTGTAATGATTACTGTCTTGAATTGGGATGTGCTTGAAAAGGTTGAAAAGTTTCCTTCCATTGCTCACGTCAGGTAATATAAGCTGCATTGCTAATGATTACTGTCTTGAATTGGGATGTGCTTGAAAAGGTTGAAAAGTTTCCTTCCATTGCTCAGGTCAGGTGATATAAGCAAGTGTTATATTTTATTTTATAAGATCTCTGTTTTTTTTTTTTTTTAACAGATTTTTACAAGGGATTGGGTTCGAACCTCAGGCCTAGATGGGGAATGCATCATGAGTGGTTATTGTCACTTGACTCGAAGGATTCGGTGCATAAGATCTCTGTTTTATTTTTATATTAGCTGGCAAATCACATGATTTTATAACCATGCATGTAAGATATGTTATTTGTCTCATTTCAACAATGAATTTCTTACTCTATGTGCAACAGAAAATAAAAAATAAATTTTTTAAACAATTTAATTTAATAAACAGTCTAATAATTTATATATATATTTGTTTTGTCTACTATGTTTTAGATTTTTTTAGATTCATCCAATATTTTTTATTTTTATTTTAGTTTAATATAATTTGTTAACTTTCTAATATCAATTTTATTTGGTTGTGGGCCTCTAATGAGCCCCACAGAACTTCATAAAAAAAACAGCGGTGGATGTGTGGACCGTCTAATTTAAAGATGAATATTTATGTGGTATTTTAATTTTATGATTTTTTTTGTGTGTATTTTTAATTTTGTTTAGCACTGTCTGACTTATCGTAATTTAGTGTTTAATGTTTCTCATCAAGGAAAAAAAAAATCCTCAAAAGTCTAATATCCAAATTCAGAAAATGGAAGAGCTAATATTACAAAAAAATGAAACAGGGATTAAGCATTAAGGCGATGGCATGGGCTTTTTTTTTTTTTTTGGTTAAATTTTTGTTATTTATTGTCTATTGTTTTTGGGATAGTTTTTGAATAATTTAAAATTAAATTTGATTTGAACAATTTTAAATATATATTTTTATATCGACTTGATATTTTTATGGTTAGGGTAAGGGTGCTCTTGGTTTAAATGGCACGTGCTTGCTGGTCCCACCGAAATATTGGTCGTTTCCTTACACTTGACAGCTCATTCCATTTCTTCCATCCTCAGTCGTCAGTCCTCACAGCAA